ATCTCTGGGACCTGCTCAACATGCACTCGTTTCTCAGGAGTACGGGCGGCGGGAGTCTGTACTCCTCCCCCGACCTTGGATGTGGCTGTAGTAAGGGGAAGTAACCCTGCCTGAGCCAGAGTGGTGTACATGGTCATGAACTGTGCGAGAGTCTCCTGAAGAGCTGAAGTAGTAGTAGCAGTAGGTGTATCAGGTGTTTGGGCTCCGGCGGAAGCTGGTGGTAGCTCCTCGGTGGTAGCTCATGCGGGTGCTCTGGCTACACCACATGCGCGTCCTCGACCTCTACCCCGGCCTTGAGCTCTGACGGCTCCAGTAGGGGCGCGGGTGCCTGATCGTCTTTAGTAGCACGTGTCCTCACCATCTATGAGAGAATAGAAGACAGAAGTTTAGAATTGTGATATCAAAAATCTCGCACGACAAGGAAATCAAATAAAGTGGAATTTTCCTAACAGTTACATAGTCTCTCGTAGATAAGTACAGACTCTTCATACCGATCCGTGAGACTCTAATAAACTGGCTTGTGATTCATCACTCCTATGAACCTAGAGCTCTGATACCAACTTGTCACGACCCCAGTTCACCCTCCCTGAGCTATCGTGATGGCACCTAGTCTCTACAACTAGGTAAGACAATTTGCGGAAAAAGAAAACAATAGATAAAAACTAGAAGAACTATGGATAAACATAATGAAAACGTTTAAGATGCTGCTCAACATATACAAATACACACTCTCAACTGAAAAGATCTCCCAAAATCCGAAATCTCACGAAATCACAAGCTATAAATACTACATAGCGTTCTAACTCCAGAATGTCTAAATCAAAGGAAATACAGAAGGGCTATAACTACAAGAGAGAATGGAGAGGGACTTCTCGGTCTGCGGACGCGACAGATATACCTCGAAGTCTCTGAAGAATTGTCTCGCCTCAAGGATAGTAGGGCTGAGTCAAAGAACCTGGATCTGCATATGAAAAAAATATGTGCAGGAAAGGGCATGAGTACACCACAGCGGTACCTAGTAAGTGCCAAGCCTAATCTTGGTCGAGTAATGACGAGGAAGGTCAGGGCCCTACCGGTCATATACATACATATATAAGGAAATGAAACAGTAAGAAGTAACATAGGATAATAAGAATAACAACAACTACAACAGAGAAAGAAATCACAAAAAGAATATAACTCCACACAAAGATAGCAACTGGGGATCTCCCAGGATATCGTCCTGTAATCCCCAAATGTAAATATCCAGTGGATCTCCCGGGTGTCGTCCAGTAGTCCAACTCATAGTGCGCAGGGATCTACTGGAATCCCGATCCGTAGTCCCAAATGTAAATACCCAGTACTGGGGGAATCTACCGAGTCCAGTCTCGTAGTTCCAATATAAATGTGCAGGGGGATCTCCCGGGATATCCTCCCACAATCCCAAAGTAAACACACAACAACAACACGAAAAACATTCAATTCAATCCAAATTTCATACCAAGGTAAAACAGGTATTTCTAACCTAGCATGCTGCAGAATTCAAATAAAACAGTTTGAGCAAGTAAAGCAAATAAGTCAATTAGACCTGCTTCCCTAAGCTAACAGTAGGCTTAAATTGCAAGTAGTATAAATAGGGAAGAAAACACAGTTATAGTTACTTAATGAAAATAGGATTTTCAATAATTAGCACATGTACGTACTCGTCACCTCATGTACAGGGCATTTCATATATCAACAATACCAAATCCTAAGGGGAGTTCCCCCACACAAGATTAGGCAAGCCACTTACCTCGAACCAGCTCAAAATCAACTCGAAATCACGTTCTTTCCACGAGTATCCAACTCCGGGTGGCCCAAATCTAATTAAATTAATACCAATGCGTAAATACAACTACAAACAACTAATTTAGCTAGAGGAAACGAAGCTAAGACAAGAAAATAGGTACACGCCCAAAAATCCTCTTCGCTCCCACATCTCGGAATCGGGTAAAAATCGTGAATTATGAACACCCATTCACTCACGAGTCTAACCATATCAAAATCCCTCAAATCCGATACCAAAACCTCGATCAAAACCCCAAAATTAGGCCTAAGAACCTTTCTCAACTTTTCCCCAAATTTTCATCACAAATCCGAATTTAAATGACAAAACTATGATTAGATTATAGGAATACAACTAGAAAGGGATTAGGAATCGTAACCCACTGATTTACTCATCAAAATCTTCCCAAAATCCCCTTCAACCGAGCTCCAAATCATTTTTTCAAGTTTTGATTTCAAACCCTCAAAATTTCCCTTTTTCTGACCAGTGAAAATGCTTCCGCGGTTAAATTGCCGCACCTGCGGAAAAGGCATCGCAAGTGCAAAAAATCACTTAACTAGTTGGGTCCGCATCTGCTGTCCTTCGGCCTCATCTGCGGTCCTGCATTTGCGGTCACCTAGCCGCACCTGCAGTTTCCTGGAGCCTGGGACAATTCCTCTTCTACGGTCACCAAGCCGCTTATGCGGCGCCGCACCTGCAATTCCACACACGCAGGTGCGGTTATGACATGTTCAACACTCAGATTTTTACCCAAGTCCAAATTCAACTTCCGTTAAGCACCCGAAACTCACCCGAGGCCTCCGGGACCTTAACCAAACATGCCAACCAGTCCTAAAACATAATACAAGCTTATTCCAACCCTCGAGTCACATCAAACAATGCTAAACCCACAAATCACTCTCCAATCCAAGCCTAAGGATTCCCAAAACTTTCAAATTCCGCTTTCGATCAAAAATTCTATCAAACCTCGTCCGAATGACGTGAAATTTTATACACATGTCACATTCAACACTACGGAGCTACTCCAACTCTCGAAATTTCATTCCGACCCTTTGATCAAAATCTCACTATCGAACCGGAAACTTCAAAAATTCATCTTTCGGAATTTCAAACCTAAATAAGCTACAGACATCTAAAACACAATCCGAACACGCCCTTAAGCCCGAAATCACCCAATGGAGCTAACAGAACCGACAGAATTCCATTCCGAGGCCGTCTTCACACTGCTCCAACTATGGTCCAAATTCTAAAGCTTAAACTCTCATTTAGGGACTAAGTGTCCCAAAACATTCTGAAATCCAAAACAAACCTTCCCGACAACTTACAATAGCAGAAACAAACACGGGAAATGCAGTTATTATGGGGATCGGAGCATAAATTCTTAAAACGACCGACCGGGTCGTTATATTATATGTACCTTTATTTTATTTGTCATGTCAATTTGTAGTAATCAAGAAAGCCCTACACCTGTACATCTTCATGGATCATAAGCACAATATCCTGTCCTAGATGTAAAATAATCTGATTATGGGGCTCTAATCTTATAAATATTATTGAAATAATTTTGTCCCGCCATAAGGGACCAAATGAATTTGGAAAAGTATCACGAATAAAACTGTCACGATAAAAAATCATCCTAGTCGTGATGATACCTAATCCGACCCGTTAGGTAAGATAAATATAATCAACACAACTCAAATCAGGTAATGAGAGACAATCGATAAAATAAATGAACTTTATATACAAATTCCAAGGACTCGTAGTACAAATCATGAGCTTCTAACACTTAGAATTTCAAAAGATGGTATTAATAAATACATCATATGTTTGAAGTTTACATAAACAGATTAGCAATATCTAAAATTATCAAGGACAAATGGCAGCTTGTAACGACCTAGCCGGTCGTTTTGAGTATTATAGCCCCGTTCCCTTATTTATTACTTAATCTGTGTTCATTTGGTTTTATGTGACTAGCCGGGGTTATTTCGAAATGAATTGGGATACTTAGTTCCAAGGTAGAAAGCCTAAGTTGAAAGAGTTGATCGAATGTTGAATTATGTGTATATGACTCCGGAATAAACTTTTGATGGTTTTCATAGCTCCGTATGGTGATTTTGGACTTGGGAGTGTGTCCCAATATTGATTTGGAGGTCTGTAGGTGATTTTGGCTTGAATTGGCAAAAGTTGGAAAAGTTAAAGTTTGGAGAGTTGTGAAGTTTGACAGAGATTGACTTTATGGTTACCGGTCTTGGATCTTGGTTCTGGGAGTTAGAATAGGCCCGTAGTGTTATTTATGACTTGTGTGCAATATTTGAGGTCAATTGGAGTTTGTTTGACATGTTTCAGCATCGATTGTGGAAGTTTGAAATTCATTAGTTTCAATAGGCTTGAATTGGGGTGCGATTCATGTTTTTGATGATGTTTGACGTGATTTGAGGTTTTGACTAAGTTTGTATCATATTTTAGGACTTGTTGGTATGTTTGGATGGGGTCCCGAGGGCCTCGGGTGGATTTCAAATAGTTAACGGATCAAAATTTGGACTTGGAGCATTGCTAAGATTGCTGAACTTCTAGAGTGATCACACCTGCAGTGGAAGTGGCCGCAGGTGCGCTGCAGGTACGGCCTTATGAACACAATGCAGAAGTGAGTGGGGGACGCTGGGACCGCAAAAGCGTGAAAGTCCACTTTACTTCCATAAAAACACAAAATGTATCCCCTAAAAAGTTTAGAGCCCGTTTGGACATAAGAATTTTTTATTTTTTTTCAAAAATATTTTACTTTTTTCGGAATCGGTGTTTGATCATAAATTTTGCAATTTTCACTTGAAAATGAATTTTGAAATTTTCGAAAATTTAAAAAAACTCCAAAAAGCTGTTTTACAAAAATTTCACTCAAAACTTCAAAAATAACCCAAAATTATATTCATGTCCAAACACAACTCTAATTTTCAAATACCATTTCTCACATGATTTTTTTTTATTTTTTTTGGGATTTTATAATTCTTATGTCCAAACGCCCACTTAAAATACTTTGACTATTACACAAAAACTTCTTGTCCTAACCCCACAAATCAGTCCAAGTCATCAACAACACCCTCCATTTGACACGTGACAAAATCTCTCTGTGTCCCACATATCCCTTTCTTAAATTTTCCGAATGACTGTTACTAAAAGACTCCATCACCAAACACTAGTCAACGTTTTTCCAAACTCGCCGGAGCCGATGAAGAAGTTCAAGAACATAAGGTCAGAGTCGTTGACTTTATTACTGGTCAACCCAGCCGGAATCATGGAAAGCGCCGACGAGTCACTGTTGCCGGGAGTGTATAAAGAAGTAGGGAAAGCATTGCATACTGATCCAACGGAACTTGGTTCTCTCACTCTTTTCAGATCCATAGTTCAATGCCTTTGTTACCCTCTCGCTGCTTACCTCACCGGCGGTCAAAACCGCACCCATGTTATTGCCCTTGGTGCTTTCCTCTTGTCCGCTGCTACCTTTCTTGTTGCCATTTCCTCCACTTTTACTGAGGTTAATTCTCTCTTTATCCTTCTACATGTGCACAATTACATTCTTATTAATTTACTTGATATTGGGTTTGTTCTAAAATTGATATTGTAATTTTAAGGTTTTATTTAGATCCTTGCGCTATATTTTTGCATTGATTTGACGCAGACTAAAAGTGTTAACTCTTGGCAAATTTAAAGGACCAAAACTGCTTAGTGCATACTTAAGGGACTATTTTGAACCTATCCTCAAACACAAGGGATCATTTTTGTCATTTTCTCTGATATGACAAAAAATAGTTTTGTAGCTTTACTATTATAGTGAGTAAAGTTCATTAAATTAACTTTTATAGTTAGTACAATTTAGTAGAGTACTTTAATGTGACAAAATATTTTAGTGAGTTTATTGTTATAATACGTAAAGTTTAGTAATCATACTTGAGATAGACTTTTTCTTTTGTGTGAGAAATGGACAATGTTATGCTCCTATTGGTTCTTGTCTAGTTTCTGAAAGGTCTCTCCTGTTTGTTAGGAGCCCCAAGCCCGGGACAAAGTTAATCAATGAGAATAGTTGAAACACAAGGTTGTTTGGAAGCTGAATCAAGCATTTATGAATCTGTGCTTGTTAGTTGTTACCTTTTGTTATTCATAGATAAGGTATTACAAGTTGACTAGCTATCAAGTCAAATTTGAGGCAGACAATGTGTTATAGTTTAGAAAGATTATTATCCGGAAACCGCCTCGCTCAGGAAGGGTTAAGGCTGCGTACATCCTATCCTCCCCATACCCTACTTGTAGAATACACCGGGTATATTGTTGTTGTAGCTTGTATTAAACTTTTTGTTTCTTAGATTAGAAGATACAATTGCTCTCTTCTTGTTTTTCCTTTTGAATCTTTAACCTGGGGGATTTCCTGGGTTTTCCAGTATTCATATTTCTTAAAATTTCTCAATGCTTATAAGGCATTTCATATTACTATATTTTCCACTTTAGTTTTTCAATCCTTGATTGGCATTTGATAAGAGAAGCAATATATATATATCTTTCTTGAAATGACCTCTATTAGAATGCTCATATTCTTCAATAGGTTGCCATATCCAGAGGATTGAATGGAATAAGACTTGCAATAGTCACACCAGCAATCCAATCTCTAGTTGCTGATTCAACTGACGAAAGCAACCGTGGCATAGCTTTTGGATGGTTACAACTAACAGGAAACTTTGGCTCTATCCTTGGTGGGCATTTATCGGTGCTTCTAGCTGAAACATCATTCATGGGGATCGCTGGCTGGAGAATCTCCTTCCATCTCATCGGTTTTATAAGCGTTATAGTTGGTATCTTGGTACGCCTCTTCGCCAAAGATCCTCGCTTTGTTGATAGTGATGGCAATGCAACAGAGCAACCTCCCCAAAAACCATTTAGAGAAGAAGTGAGGGAACTGCTAAAAGAAGCAAAAGCAGTTGTAAAAGTACCTTCCTTTCAAATTCTTATTGCTCATGGGGTCTCAGGTTCATTCCCTTTGTCATCATTGTCATTTGCTCCTATGTGGTTGGAGCTTATTGGATTCTCCCACAAGACAACAGCATTCCTTTTGACTTTGTTTAATGTTGCTGGATCAATTGGTGGATTGTTTGGAGGAAAGATGGGGGATATACTTGCCTAACACTTGCCAAATTCTGGTAGAATTATTCTTTCTCAGATAAGCTCTGGTTCGGCAATCCCTTTAGCTGCAATTCTGCTTCTTGGATTGCCTGATGACCCTTCCTCAGCTGCAATCCATGGTTTAGTCTTGTTCATAATGGGATTTATGATATCGTGGAATAGTCCAGCGACAAACAAGTATGTTTCATTTGGAAAAACTATATCATTCTTCATTACCTGGATTTTCTTGCATATATATATATATATATATATAATTGAAAAATTCAGAGAAACGCCACATGATGTTTAATCTCAATGCGATAGTGCTAATACTGAGTGTCTATTAGCCATTAGGCTATAGTTCAAAACTATTTCAAAAGAGCAAACTGAAAATTTCGGATACTGTCTTGTTTTCTGATTTCAAGAAGAGGAAAATATTTCTCCTTCCTTGCCATCTTCCTCTTAGAAATATAGGGAGTTTTGAATGTTAGATCCATACAATAGGGGAAAGTCCGATAAGAATTTGAAATTGAGGTAGTGTTTGTATATCTTGTAGATGAGGACTTGCAGAAATAGCCTTAATCCAACTATGTGAAAGTGTTGTTTCAATCTGTATATGTTTTTCTCTAAGTTGATTTTCTTTGACTCAGCGGGAACTAGCCAATACTAGAACTGTAGATGGAAAACTAATCTGGTTCAAGCTTAAGATCCTAGCAAAGCTTTATCTGTAAAGCACTTGATTTTTTCTTTTTCCTTATCCTTCCTGCTTGTTTGCTATTGCAAGTCATTTCTTATTTTATAAAGTCATACCTTTAGTTGATAGTGAAGCACCTTTGATTGTTTCTCATATGGTCTTTTCTACATGGCATTTGTTTAAGTATCTTCGCTTAATAAACTAGTTACCTACTTCTTTCTGTTTCTGCTCTTTGCACAATGCAAGGCTCAGTCTTTGGCTCCTGTTTAGCTTATTTTACACTTTCACAAAATGGATTCGTTTCTATGCAAATTAATGGGTAAAGGAGCACATTTAGGCACCAACTACAAATGCTTAATAAGACATAGCTAAAGGAGCTCATAAAAATTATTGGTCTCTGCTTACTAGTTTGAAGCTGGTACCTGTTCACCTAGAAAAGATTTTCAAAAAATAATTCAGCATGATTTACTAACATATTTGTTGGGATAAAAAATAATCTCGCCCAGGAATAATATTCACAACAAATAATAATAACACAAGAGAGTAACAATGACACCAAATATTTTAGCGGGATAAAATACAATACCCGAGTGGAGCAATATTACCACTATAATATTACAATTCAGTAGTGTTAAGAGACTACTACAACTTTGAAAGAAATAGCACTCTTTATTTAAAACACCTCACGACAATATTACTACCACTCACTAGTTATCTCACAAACCACAATCTGTGGATTACTCTCACTGCTTTATGCTTCTCTCGTTATTTTGGTGTGTATCAAAAGAGAAATGGAGCCTGCTATTTATAGAAGATCAGAATGGTTTATTCACTGTAATTTGCAGTGCAAATTACCATCGGTCAAAACATGTGTTTGTGACTTTTGAAATTTGGCAACTTTTTCTAGCCGCCCAACTTGGAAAATCTTTTCAGCCACCCTATTTGACTTCTGCAACTTTTTCATCTTTTTTCTTTGTTTCATCTTTTTTATGGGCCCTACAAATCTCTCCCTTAATTTTGATTTTTCTTCTTCATTCCAATTCTTGATCTCAATCTTTGAAAATTTTCAAACTTAAGAGGTTTTGTGAAGATATCTGCAACTTGATCATGAGACTTCACATATTTGAGCCCGACTTCCTTCTTG